TTCAGTCTCCTTTCCAACTTGTTCTGCATACGTACACATGCACCAATTAAGTGAAGCAAAGTAAAAAGTTGGACAATATAAATGCAAATGCGCGATTAATTATTGTGCGGCCTTCATCTTATTATTATTTAGAGGAGGAGGAGGAATGTCTGTCCCGTTATTATGCAGTTTTGTTGGGTCGTCTGTGGATGGGACGAGTGGAAAAGTTTGAGCCCATGCACAGGTCGGAGAAGGAGGACGAGGAGGGAGGCAAGAAGTGAAATTAAAATTAAAAGGAGAGAAAATAAAATAACATTATTTTATCTGCTAACTACCCAAGTAACTGTGGGACAGTGGAATAACGATCAAGTGGAGTCATGTCAAGCCCATGGAAAGTAGACATCAAAGTGGCTGAAAATTACTGCAAAAGAACTCCATTTGCATAATGAGTTTTGCTCCAAAGACCGGCAGCAGCCATGCAGACCTCTCCATGAGAAAAGAGCAGTGTGTTTGCCACCATCTATAATTTTTGGCTCTTCCTTAATTAGCATTTTATATCATTAAACCATCTTTATACCCTCGTAATAAAGACACTGTCCCCAAGAAGAAGCAGGCCCAGCCCTCCCCCGCTGAATTCGCCGCTGAGCTGAGCATGGATTCTGACGGGAAAAGTGTCCAGCGTCCAGCCCCAACAGCGTCGCACCGCTCGCACGCCGAGGGGACGCGACTTGTGAACCGTCTCCCTGCAAAGTATAGCGAATTAAAAGTTAGCTAAATTAAACTTGCATTATTTTACGAGCATCTTTCACCGAAAATGCCGTCACAACTTTTATTAGCTCCCGTTATTAAACTCTGATGTGCTCATTGTTCATTATTATTATATAAATTAGGTATGCAGATTGGACCACTTGCAACCACAGCACAGCACATTCAAGCCAACAATGTCCCCAGAATGTCCATGCAGCCAAGAACAATGGCACTTATCAATTGTTGGCTGCTGGGCTGGATTAAATTTTATTGTAGCGTTATTTTTTGAGGAATTGAATAATCAGTTTAGATAAGGAGTCGAGCCAGCTATTTAAATTGTACGGATAGTGGAGATGTAGAAACGTGTGTAGGAAAGTTGTATAATGTGGGCCATGGAGAAAATATGTATTTATGAAGGAGGCGAGGTAGTAGGAGAAGTGTGAAGGGTTTCGGTTGCTGGCCGTCCATTGCAGTTGGGATGATGAGATGAGTAAGCCTTTTTTGTCCGAGGGATTGAATATTCATTTATGCTAATTAAGGCCCACTAGCTCCCTTCTAATTCCCTGCTTAAGCATTTTACATCATTCTGCTTACGTAACTTGTAGCAGCGGAGGGAGAGAGCGAGAGGGTCCATGCACCTTATCTCTAATTATGATAATGTAATTCCCTTCTCCAAGACTTGAACAGCCTAATCTATCAAACCGTGATTAACAAGCTTCTTCTCTCTCATGCCCTATCTTCCTCATCTATCTCGTCCTCTAATTTATTCGCATTTTAAACTATGCTTTCCCCTCCACTCCTGCTCCTGCTTATTTTCACCACCAGTCTCTCTCGTCCTTCTCATCCACGCTTTTCCGAGACCAAGATTTTTCTAAGAATTACGTCCCAGTCTTAATCCAGTATCATTTCAGATTGCATTCAGCATTTGAATCTTGATCCCAGCAGCCACTCAGCGCACTATAAAAATGCCCAACTATGCATTAACCAACGCTTTGTGCTGGTGCTGGCATCCTACATATGCATACGTAGTGAGCGAAACAATGTACATATTTATGCCATCGGTCATATAATTCAACTTTTTGATCAATCTCCCTTCAAGATTTAATTTCAAGTAATCGACATCACAGGTAATAAAAGCAGGAGGTAATTTCAGATAAATGTTCAGCAAAGTAAACAATGGCCTTTCAAAAAAGTTTACTGAGGCAACTTTACAGCCATCAAAATCAATTCATTCGACGACCAGTTTACATAGTTGTACATACACACAGACATACATGGCTTGGTGAGTATCTCCCTTGGCTCGGCCTGTGAAAACCCACCGTCTCATTAAAACCAATGCAAGATTATTAACTTTTTATTATCTTGACAATCAACAATAACAGAGTCGACAAAATTATATTCCCAGTAGCGTGGTGCACATATTGAATAATGCGAACGCGAGATGAAGTATGTTGATGAAAAAATGATTCATTGTCACGAAGGTGAAAAGTTGAAGAAAACAAATTATTGGAAATCAAAAGAGTAAGCTATAAAGTTTTTTAACTGCAACTTCTGTCCGTCCGTATGTACGTATAAACTGCTGCTGCTGGAGGTATGTACATATTTCGTGTTAGTTAGTGGAGGCAGGTGAAGCTGAAATATCGAAGGATATACATATTACATGCTTTTACAAAAAAGGTTTATTGTTCTTGATGCTCATGTGGATTCAATTTCCCAGATTGATTCCAAATTATTACTGATCAAACAGGAGTTAATAGTTCGAGTTCTTTCCATGGTACACATGCTCACGTACATGTTCTCCGAGTATGAAGTATGTAGGTATAAGAAGAAAATTAGTATTGCTTTTTATATTGACAACGTTCTGCAACCATTACGTTCATGGTCTCATCAGTGTAATTTCCATGATCGTCGTCATCGTCAATGAGCAATTTGAGACCTGGTTGGCTTTTCCACACACCACCCGCAGGAAAATGTGGATGGAAGGCGCTGCGTGAATTGGGTCTGATCAGAAGACGCCACCATTTTACGTTATGCAAGCAAAGTGTAGACTTTCCCTTCTTTAGCCACGACGGAATGAGATTATGAGATATTATTCAGCAGGGTTTGGTGGGAGGTGGGAGGTTGGCTGGTCTGTCAAAATCCTTTATGGCTCATTATTTGCTTAAGCAGTTGATACTTTGAATTTGATAGTGGAATTATTGCGAGAATGTGATGAGATAATGGTGCGCCGTCCTCCCATCCATCCATCCATCCGTTAGGTATCCCTCCGTATTAATGCATATTCCATACACATGAATATATTCCGAGCAACAGCACACTTTACTTTCTTTGTAAATGAAATGCATGAATCATGTAAGCATTTAATTTGGACTGTCATCCACCGGTTGCAAAGTGTACATTAATAAGCATTTAAATGACACGTTAATGTCCCACTCTTCATCACATCACACATAATACGTGTGTTTGTGTACTTGATATTCTGCGATAAATGAATTCATGAGCTATCGAAAAAGCACGAAGCATTATGTCCCGTTATGTATGTATTTAGCATCGGCTTTCTTATATTCCAGAGTCAATTCTTATTTTTTACCCAACAATTCTATTATACTCATCAATGCCGAGCATTATCGGGTTTTCCAACACCAATCCAACTATTTAGACTCTGTCACTGTAAAATACCCTTCGAATAGGAGAGAAAAAAACAATGAGAGGTCCGTCAGGAAATTCGGAGGGGGATGAATTATGCAGAGTATTTTGAGGAGTCTGATGGGGAGGCGGGGACAGGAACGGAATGAAAAATCACAATATTTCAACATTTAAATCGTGTCCCTGTCACTCTGGAAAGTGGGCAAAAATAAACAAGCCCAATCAACATCTTTTCATTTGGAGGAATATATTGAGAAATAATAAAGTGTCCATAAAACGTGGCATTTGAAATGAATAAGGTTTTGACAACATTCTATTTATTAATTGACGAGGAAAAAGCGGAGCTGTCAAAGAATGCAGAGTTTTAGAGAGTTTGATAAGCATTTGAGGATTACCTCAGAGCGAGCAAACAAACAAAAGGAGGTTATCGTTTAATATGTCATGCTCAATTTGAAATCTAGCAATAAGTTGTTATTATTACTCGGAGGTGAGCATTTGGTGAAATTCATTAATTTTCATTGCCTCATCTTTACCACCCAGATCAGACGAGGACATTTATTCGAACCAATTCTAGTTTATTTGGCTACATACATGGGATTTGCATTTGGTTGGTCGATCCTTGCATCATTTATGGATGTGGGCATATGTATGCACGAGGGTGGTGATGTTGATGGTGGTGTCGTGTGACTAGGAGATGCATTTAATTTTAAAATAATTGCCAAGGTGGTGAACCCCGACTTTTCGGTTACTTACTTACTTGCTTACACCCCTACGATATTTGCCATGGATGTATGTCCCACTGTCTCATCGTATAAAATATTATTATTTATTTGATATTGGCAATTATTAAGGGGGTTGAGTGAGTGTAGTAAATTTGGTGTGTTTCGCATGTTTGCAAACATCCAAACATGCGATTTGGATAAACGCAGCAAATTTTCGCGAGATAAGCGTTTAAAAGACATGTCACGAAATATGTAGAAATGTTTAAAATTTCAGTGAGCCTAAATGTATTGTCTTCAAATTCAGGGTGGTTTGGTAAGTATTCTTCAAATGAGTAAGACTGTGACATAGAAGGAATTTCGAATAGATATGTAAATACTCTAAAATGCATGGACGGAGTGAAGACTGGATTAAACTTTGAGAAAATAATTGGCAATAAATAATCAAATCTCATCATCAGCAACATCACATTTCTAAATTTCGTCACCGATTAATAAGAACAGAATTCTGAAAAATTCAGTAAATAAAAATTTCAGGAATAAATATAATGAATGAATATGGCCTACCAATTTGAATGCAAAATCTAAATTGCTCAATACCCTTATCGTAAATATATGCAACATCTTATTAGCCAACTCAATTCTTATCTCGTAACGAGACTCCTATTCAGGCTGCGAAGGTTAGCACATCATTTAAAAATGTCATGCTCACCTTTCGTGTGTAAAGTTGCAAAATTAAGTTGCACAAAATGTAACAATGACGGCTCATTATATTCCCGGAGGCAAGTTGGCTTTTCTTTGCCAATGCCCGATATTCCGCACGAAAGCCCGAATATCCAGTGAGAAAGAACGGTGTTGTGCTGGGTGAGGAGCTTGCTTGCTCTTAAACTTGGGCAGATTGGACCCTCGTCTCAGTTGCTTTGCAGCAATCAGTCTGATCACTCTACCCCGTCTCTCTCTCTCTCTCTCTCTCTCTCACTATCAACTATCTCGCACAACAGCCTTTTTCTCACCTCTCTAAATCTCAAAATCTTCAAGGTTTTGGAAAAAACTTTGACTCGAAACAAAGTCCGGAAATTCCAGTCTCAGCAGAAAGATCATAAAGCGGCGTAGTTTGGCGAGGCAGGAGTGGAGCAAACCTCCTCTCGTGCTCGTGATCCTGCTCGATCGTCTCAAATTCCTCAGTGACGTCTCATCTCATTATGAAACAACACTTATTATCCAATTTATCAATTGCCCACTAAATTAATTATTTATCAGCCACTCGACCACCACATTCGCGACCTACCAAAGAGCAGATAGTGGGTTATCAAAGCTGCTAAAATAACCTTATCAGCCAGATTCCACTCTCTAACCCTGTGTGCCGTGATGAGTGGTGATGCACCCGAGTTGATGGAGAACAAAGTTGTGTCAGACTCTAATTACAATTAAATTATAAAAATACGAGCCCCAGCCTTGCAACACTTGACTTACGATTAGTAATGCAAAGTAAAATATGTTGTATCGAGTTGCTTCATGGTGAACTTTGTGACTTTGACTTATTAGCCATCGTTGAATGGAATTTTTGAGTCACGCTATAAAATTCAGAGGGAAGTACGACGATCAGCACCGATTAATTATTATTATAATACAAATTCAGGGCTACGTGCAGTATAAAGTGCAATTAAACTTGGATAATTATTCTATTGTTGATTAAAATTGTGTGGAGCTGAACAATGAAATCTCGCAATGCCCGGGTCCCCCGTGTTCAATCAACTTATCATCGAAATTGCCAGGAAGAATAAGTAGCAATACGTTAAAAGGTGGGAGACATAAGTGGAGGAAATTACCCAATCAGTCGGATTAATCTCGTCACTCGTGGATAATGATGATGACCGAGGTGGCTGGAATGGGAACGGAAACGAGTCCTGCTGCCGGGACAGCGAAGGGGAAAGCCTTCAATTTGATGAGACAGCGTTCCTCCTCCGTCGAAGAGGCCGCAATGGCCACTTTCATGAATAATAACAATAACAACAACAACTTGGAGGTGGTGATGGACAACCAGAGTGGTTCTCCACTCCCCCCCAACAACAATCGATCTCACCACCAAGAACACCACCCCTTGGCGACCGCGGCCACAGCGGAGAAAGGTGGCGGTGAGGAACACCCCGCCGTAGCAGCTCTCCAAACAGATAATGACGACGAGGACATGGACATGAAGAAGTCCCCCACGATGAGAGAAGAGGGTGAGACGAGACAACTCCACCAGCAGGATTACACTTCGTCTCGAGAAAACTCTCCTTCTGGAAGAACAACGAAATCCTCGAATGATGAGGACAAGCATCTTGGTCAGCAGAACAGTCGGAGGGAGGAGGACGAGGAGCAGGACGGAGGGATGATGATGGTCTTGGACGAGGAGGACGAGGACGACGGGGGATTCTCCGACGACGAGGGTGAGATGCCAGGGCCAAGGGATGCAGATGACGATTCGGACCGAGATGAACATCGCATCAAGTAAGTGCATGAACAAAATTCACTCTCTTTTGCCGCCGGTATCACTAAAAAAGAAGGTCATAAAGAACATAATTCGAGAATGACATGACTAAATGCTAGTCATATTTATTGACAAAAGTGGTACTAAAGTAATATACTAAGGCTCAGTTTCAAATTATAAAGAGATTACCACCAAAGTGAACAAAATAAGTAATGCTGCAACATTCTACCAAACAAACTGAGGTTTTCCATTAATTATTGGAATTCCATTCCCCTTTTTCCTCACAACAATTGTACAACCAGTTTTAAATTGGAAAAGTCTCCTAAACACATTGTAGCTAAATACTATGTCATAGTGGGTAAGTTGTTCAGTCATGGGTCGCATTCGGTGTCCTTTGAAGTCTTGCTCCAGAATAGTCCCCATCAACGTTGCCAAGATCCCCATAAATTCTGCATGACGGGTACGGGTCTCACTCTCTCCAGGGTATTCTTCTTCTTCCAAAATGTCCTGGTAGAGCATCACCACGCTCTCAAGATGTTCGGCAAGTGCCATATGGGGGAGGGCATTGTTTTTACTTGCTCCTGATTTGATGGAACAGACCTTTGCAGTGAATATCCCGTCCTTCACTGCCCCATTTCCATCATCACCTTGATAAGTGTGGTCTTTATTTTTGATGACACCGGCTGGGAACATATGAGTGGGAATGAGTTGGTTGGTAGCTGGGGTCACAATAAATTTGAATCCGTTCCGGGCCAGAATCTTCCGCACCTCCTTCCAGTCTGCATTGTTGAAGGCGATCCAGCCCATCCGCAGTCGAATTTTAGGGTGGTTGGAATTGGGGAAAGCGTTGTTGTGGAGGAAAGTCATGATGGATGTTGCGACCTATTCAAAACATGTGATTAATCATTCATCCTTGATAATTATAAAAACCTACAGTTAAGTCTTCATGTAGCCCGTGTCCGACTATTTAACCTAAATTTTGCTGAGGCAAGTTGAGATAGGGTTACTTACGGAGAAAGTATTGAATTTCTCGAGAGAGAGCGTTGTGGCAAAACTCCATCTCATGTCCATCACGAAACGACAATTGGGATGTCCAGTGATGTAGTTGCTAATAGACGGATAGCTCCTTTTCCTGTCGGGACTTCTTACGTATTCATTCATGGTGTCTTCATTAAATGCGGTCATACGAAGGATTGGATGGTAGACGATAATGTTGGGTTTGATATTAGTGGCATCCCGTAAAAGCACAACTTCACGGAGTCTGGACGAATCCGCACGGCAATATCCCACAATTTTATCCTGTAAACCATAATTCATAATGGTAATAAATAAATACGAAAAATGTAGTAAAGGGATAGAATAATTCAAATTATTACTTGAGCATTAACCCAGCACCTTCCAATATTGCATTTTTTTTCGATTGCCCCCAATGGAAAACGTAATCATTTTGCACTTTGAACATCAAGGCTTTCACATCGTCACCTTGCCACTTGATCCAAATGTTGTTGTTGTCCCCGTTTCGAATGGGGGTGGTGCGAGGGGTTCCAAGTCCCAAAGTGTGGGTACCACGAACAGGAAGTGACTCCATCCATTCCACGAATTCCTCACTTTCGCCCAAATTAGCATCCGTCTCACCCGGCTCGTCACCCCATCGCAAGTGGGTCTTGATAGCATCAAAGATGTACTTCAGCGTCCCCTTGGGAGGGTGCCACATTTCAACTTCTGCTGGTGGGGGTGGTGGTGGAACTGGAACAAGTGGGAGTGGTGGTGGAGGAGGATTAGCTAAAATAATGCACAAGATAATCCATTACATATTTATCAAATTTATTGCTTCAGTCGTCATCCTCATAAATAATGCATAATATCGATGATTGAGAGTTTTATTACCCATTGGTTCCACTCTCTGAAGTGGTCCGTCCCCATGTTGCATAAAAATAGCAAACGTGACGGGCTCTCCAACCATGTGAGAGAGTGGCGTCGTGGGGACGTACTCCATGACGCGATCCCCATACGTCAAAATAAGTCGCGGTGGTGGCGGAGATTGAGATGGGGGTGCGTCAAAAATATATTCCTCCCCCTCCTCCTCGTCCGCAGAGTGTTGTGTGGAACGAGGGGACACTTGGTCGTCTTCGTCATCCACTTGACCCGCAGCGTGGTGTTCGGGGTCAGAGGTGGGCTCCGTCTCAGAATTTGAGTGGTCGGTGTCATTGGAATGGGCCGAGTCTTCATCATCATTCATGTGATCAGAGTGGGGGTGGGCTTGTCCGTGGTCAGAATCCGAATCGTCACCTTCATTCGTTCGTTCCATGGGAGAGTGGTCGGTATCGGGGTCAGATTCCGAGTCGTCATCATACGTGTAGGACACCTTCTTTCGCTTCCTCAAACTCCTACCACCTAAAAAAACATAAATTCAAGGTAATCAATAATAGTAATATTTAATATGCTGTGTGGTGGGGGTGGGGTGAAATAAGAGGGTAGAAAACTTACGCCCTTCCGTGTTTTGGTGGTCGGTGTCAGGGGAAGAATCCGAGTCGTCAACAGCTCTCGCGGGTTCCATTTGGGGGTGGTCGGTGTCAGGGGGATTCCGAGTTGTTCTCCGAGAAGGTCGTTTTTTGGGTGGGGCCATCTTTGCGCCCTGAAAAGGACTTAAACAAAGAGGTAAACAGTGGTGGAAAGTGTGGAAGGTTTGAGAGGTGGAGGAGAGAGGAAGAAAAACACGTGAAACTCGCTGGCAGTGCAGACGAGTTGTGTGAGAACTTCTCCATTTTTCTTCCTTGATGGCAAAGGGACGCCAAGCTTTCGTTATCAGTTGATAAGAAATCGAGTGAGGAATGCAGCGTCGGTTTATTTTTGGAAATATATTGAACAATGAAGTTTGGTTGTTTTATAATACTTTTCAGGCTCAATGATGGCATCACCGTTCGAGAGGCACTCATGAGTCGGGCTTATCAAGCAGCGGCGGCCAAATATGGACATGGGGGCAGCAAGTACTCGGCACAGGTGAGAACAGCTTTTTTAATCCACTTGCTTTGTTTTTTTAATTAATTAACTAATTATAATTATAATTTAATATTTCTGCCGAGATTAATTATTTCGTTTGCCGTTTTTCAATGCTTTATTCTGTTAAAAATATTAGCGGATCATCACATCTAAAGGACCAAATATTTCAGGAGAAAGAAAGGTGTCGTCGTGCGTGTAATCACAACCCTTTCTTTCCAGAATCTCACTCCTCTCTCTGGCTACTTTTCTTCCAAGAACGTATCCCAGTAGAGCACGCCTACGAAAACTTTGTGACTTTTAAGTTGCATTAGCACACTTTATCCAAGGTTGGATAAATTACAGAGTCACTTTTACACGAACATTTGAGTGAGGTTTAAAAGAGTTGAAAACGTTAATCCTAAAATCCGAAAGGTTTGGATGGGGAAAAAGAGGAAAAAGAGGCGTTTCAAGTGATCTGAAGCATTAAGATCAAGTCAAGGGTGACACTAGTCAGGGATAGATTCCTCCGACTGGAGTTGGTCTTAAGTAAAATTTCCATCCACTCAATTGTATGTAACAGGAGTCCAGAGTGACATGATTCCATTTTGCAACTGGCAGTGCTGTGGCGTAAGCATTAAGTAGGTACTCGCAGCACTGGGAGGACGTTGAGATTCGTAACAACGAGCATGACAAGGCAACCTGAAACCTCCACGTTTTTATCATTTTGTTTGTATTCCTCTACAAAAGAGCAAAGGATGATATTTTTGCTTCATGTTTTCTTCTCTTCTCCGATGATACATAATCCCGGGCTGCCTTGGCGTTGTTGCTCTTTGTGTGTCGGATTGAGAGGAGTTGATCTCGGATCTGGTGAACTGTGGTGGGAAGAGGAGTGTGGCAAAAAGTATTCATTTGGGTGGGTGAAGAAGAAGGCAGGGTTGATTGAGAGAAAGGCAGGAAGTGGAGGAAATCACTTAAATGAGATAAGAGGGATTGAGCCCTCTCGAGGCACAAGAAATCTCGGGAGCTTTCCCTTTATTTGTCCGTGTGTGACAAGGTGTGAAATTAGAAACTTCCTTCAATCACTTTCACAACCACTCCCACCACCACCTTCCTCATCACAGCCCGCTCCTCAGACAAGTCCACTCGCCCAAAGTCTCACCCGACCAGGAGAGAGCAGTGATCGAGTGGGCAAGTTGAGACGACCAGGATGGCGAGCGACGCTGTTCTCATAAATAGTCGCACTCACCCAACATTATTGATTTGATATTTGGAAATTAATGCAATTACGAAACAGAAAAGTCTTAAAAATAGCATAATTTATTTCATATAAATGTTACTAAAAAATTGTTAACAAGGTGGTGTCGTCACTCTTCAAAGGATTTCTGCATTAGAAACAATTGTCGCATGATTTGTACTTGGTGGAAAGTTGGAGAAAAAGTTTGAACAACTCGACAAAAGTTTCCATGCACGTATTTAGTTCTTGCTGCAGAGCAAAGTCTGAGTTTAAAAGTAAATTATAAATTGTACTCGGTGTACGTAGTTGTTATCATTACGTATGTTAAGTTGCGAGGGTGGTGATTAGTTGGGTGAAATGGGTTCAGTAAGTAAAATGCATCTGTGCATTAGCTCTATTTATATTTACGACAAATAGAATTGAAACATCAGGAAAACACGATCCTTTCAGTGTATTTATACTCGAAATAAATAGGGACTCGAGAATCTGGAAGAGTTTGGAAGGTCGAGAGCCGACCACCTGGATGATGGATTTCTGCTAGTTTAGCGATTTAGTTGGTGAGTGGCAAGGAATTTAATGGAGATGGATCAATTCTTCTTTCATCCCTTGTAAACATTGAGTTGGTCAGACAAATCTTTGTATCATCAGTCGTCCTCCTCCTCCATTATATCATACCTTTCACTCCATACACTCGCAGACACTTTGCATGCACATGTATTTATTTATATCCGTCCATTCCATGCATTATCCTCACAACAAAGTCTCAGTTTCTCATATGAAATCCTCCCAGATTAATAAATCCAGCCTGAAATAGACTCGCGTTTGAAATATGTAGTTAAAAAACAAAAAGTGGAGAATTTCGAGTTGTACTTGGTTCATTCCTGTGATTGCATGAATGTCAATGTTTTATAGAAATACGCAAATATCGCACGTGTAAGTGTTCTCTATCCCACCAACGAGTAAATACCAGTGGCCTTTCGAGACTACATAATATGCATTACATGATGGTAGGCAAATATCTATGCTTGGTTGTCATAAGTCTCATAGAGTTGTGCTGAATGGACCAAGTATTACGTAAGAAGAGAGCGGATCGTGGTGGTGATGAAAATGGTGAAATGCAGATAAATGGTGGACGATCGGGTTTCTGCTGAGCAAATAAAAGCCCAAATTAAATGCACAAATTGAAATGAGCCTTTTCAGACTTTCTCCCCATGTCCGTCCACACCACGCCATGTGAAATAGGGGCCCCAACTGCCCCTGGTGGTGGTGATGGTGGGGTGGCCAGTGCATACGTGGTTGGATACATATCATTATTGTTCCAAGCCTCGCTCTCTCCTCGTCAAGTATTAGGTAACTGACTGAACTGTCATGTGTGACTGGGAGTGGAGATGAGGCCATCAGCCTGGATATGAATAGGGTTTGCTTTCACAAAGGGAATAAATTATGTAAATTGTGCTGTACAAAGTTGCAAGTTTATGCCTCTGCTAATTAATTACGTTGCATAACATTGGAATGAATAATATCTCAGAACGAGTACTTACTTATTACGTGTGTGCTGCGCTGCTGCGGGGCAAATCAGCCGAATTCTGAATGAATGGAGGGGATGAGATGCTAATGAGAGAACAAACAGATTCAGCTCAAAAAGGAGTCGTGGGATCGCAGGTCAGAGAGAGTGCAAGACTTGTTGTAAACATTGAATTGCAGGAGAAAGTGAGTTGCCGGCTTTATGAATTCATTTCTGAGATTGTGCGATTCATCTGTAACAAATATATTTATAAATTGTGATGCCGCATTTATAATTACTTTGAACAATCTCATAACCGAACCGAGCGGGCACAGCACACGGCTTTTTGTTCATCTCTCAACAAAGGAGGAGACAGACGATCGGAATGAATTGAAGGCTTATGTTTCAAACTGGATGGAATCTACTTTCCTTCACCCTCTCACTTCTATTTTTACATGGCATTACCCAATGCTGAACGGTAATGTAATATATTGCCAAGAGAGAATTGAAACGTTGTTGGATTGGTTTGCAGTGAGTGAGGGAATAGTCCGTGAAATCCCGGTGTAGGTTGAGTAATCAGAGAACGAGCGATGCCCGGTTCGGTCGGACTTGATGTTCTTTGATTGTCCGTGTCCCCTCCGTCACTCACTCGCTCTCTCTCTCGCTCTCCTCATTACGAATGACGAATTACAAGGCTAATTCACCGGACTCAAGCAGCTACTAAATATTCTAATGAACTATCTCCTCTCCCCCACCCTCAACCAGGAACACGTCCAATAACGGAGTATGAGGAGCGGCATCCAGAAAGTGAAAAGCAAATGCAGTCTTCCTTTGTGGATTCGATACAAGATAAATAGAATTAAGGTTCGGGTTGGACTGAGATCGGGAGGAGAGGGGTGATCCAACACGGCCGCTTGTTTACTCGTCGACCAACGAGAGTCTGAACCTGGTCTCGAGGTGAAAGCTCCTCAAGAGAGGAAATCAGTGACGAGCTCGGGAAGCTGCACTGGCCTTTTGTTTGGCTGTTGTGTCATACATCAACTTTCCGCTGTCTGTCACTTTCACGCTGAAGTTGCACTGTTCTCATCCATCTCGTGCCTGGCTATCCTGCTCCATGTTTCCCCTCGAGTAAGTATTCCCATCACAATTTGTCATCCAACTCGTACAGTGTGAAACGGCTACTTATAATATTAAATCACATCCACAAGTGGACATGGGCGAATATATTACTGAGCTTCAGTTCTCGGTCTCTCTTTCTCCTTGGATTAACTCAGGATTATGAATGCTAGGGCTGATGCGACGCAATGGCGATGCAGTTCAGTTCGAGGGGATTGCATTGAGTTTATTCCGTAATGAAACGAAATTGGATATTTTTATTTTTGGCCGAATCTCTAATTCCACTTTTGAATTAGTCTCACTCTCCCCACGCCACGAGTCCCCCTTCTCATCAGCATTTCCAGATTTACTGGCTGGACACTTTCACTCTCGTCCCTCGTCCTGGATTATTGGAGCATTAATTAAACTGAGATGACGAACAAGGGTTCGAGCCACGTGCTTCATTTGGGGATCAAATTATGTATATTCGTGCAAAAAAAGGTGAGAGAAGGTTACTTTTTATGAAGATTGTGGGGAAAACAGGTGGTTTAAAAAGATCTGGGAGATACATTGCACGAGGACATGTTTCAGATTGAATGTGTAACCTGTCAGTAGTTGAAGGTGCAACTTGTTTAGTTTCGTGTTAATATTTACTCCTCATTTTTCCCGTTGGTTGTGAACTGAAGACAAAAAATAAATATGGTTATAATTACATGTCAATTTGCTGCATGTATCTAGAGGTGTACGTACGTATGGTATGTGTGTTTAGCAAAGGCGACAAGGTCTCGATAAAATGTGATGCGAAAAATCTGCGTGTGCTAGTTCCTCTCGCTCATACGTAGGATTAGCTTCAGAGCTCTTGTATAACAATAATGGAACCAGGTTCCCACATCATCAAGCCAACACACATTTCATCGTCGTAAGCACCAGAGCAGTCCAAGGGAGGTACGTACGTACACATTATGATGTGTCCAATGTGCAAATTAAGCCCAGAAACGCGAACCAAAGTTGATTTATGGGTTGTGTGAGAGAATTCAATATTCTCAAAGGAGCCAGTCGGACAAGATTTGATTGATAACAACGCTCAGCATTTTCGTAATTTTTAATCCTCAATTTTAATAATGTCAATTCAGCAGTTCTTTGTAATCTCAATCGCAAATTATTTATTTAATAATGTAGAATATTTAA